CGTGTACATTATATTGTTTTATATTAGCCATTTTTTCCTCAGTTGGCTGACAGCGTTCATGCAAGATGTCTCGAAAGTGTGTAAACAATCCAGATCAGTTTTGTTACGTGTGTGGTGATGTGACTTTTGCGTCTCAGAGACGGTCTATTACTCCACTAATAACAAAGGCATATCAGCTTTATTTCGGTTGTAAACTAGGTGATCAAGACAAACAGTGGGCACCCCACATCTGCTGTAATACATGTGCTTCAAGTCTGAGGAGCTGGTTAAATGGCAAAAAACGGTCTATGCGCTTTGCTGTTCCAATGGTTTGGAGAGAGCCTACAAATCATATTAATGATTGTTACTTTTGCATGGTACCTTGTGTTGGACAAGCCACAGGTATGTCCAAGAAAAAAAAATCTGTTATTAACTACCCAAACATACCATCTGCGATGAGACCTGTGCCTCACAGTGACGAAAATCCTATTCCAAAACCCCCAGAATCCTACACTTGCGAATCAGAAAACGAATCAGATCATGGCGATCGAGTGATTCGTCAGGAAGAAGATATGCCATGAACGTCAAGAGATCCTGATTTTATACCGAGCACGTCATGCCACCAACCGCACAAAATAACACAGTCAGAATTAAATGATCTTGTAAGAGATTTAGAACTTCCAAAATGTAAGGCAGAGTTACTTGGATCAAGACTGCAGCAGTGGAACTTGTTAGAATACGATGTTTCGGTATGTGTTTTTCGTAAACGCCACAAAGACTTAGAACCATTTTTCAATATGGAGAATAACTTGGTTTTCTGCAGTAACATTAACGGCTTACTGGCGGCTTTAAATATAAACTATAACCCAGAAGAATGGAGATTGTTTATAGACAGTTCAACATTGAGTTTCAAGGCAGTGTTACTGCATATTGGAAATATTTTACCATCTCTTCCTGTAGGGTATGCAGTTCACATGAAAGAATCATATGACAATATTAAGTACCTATTGACATGCATAAAATACGATGAGCACCAATGGCATATTTGTGGCGATTTGAAAGTTGTTGCACTTTTACTTGGGCTGCAGCTAGGCTACACAAAGTTTTGCTGTTTTTTGTGTGAATGGGACAGTCGGGCAAAGGCACTTCATTACACCAGACAAAACTGGCCTGTTCGTCAATTCCTAGAGCCAGGTCAAAAAAATGTACAGCATATGCCATTAGTAGATTCGAAAAAAATTTTATTACCACCACTGCATATCAAGTTGGGCCTAATGAAAAACTTTGTCAAGGCATTAGATAGAGATGGGTCAGCTTTTCAATACCTGCGTGAGAAATTTCCAAGACTAAGTGAGGCAAAGGTTAAAGAAGGTATTTTTGTTGGGCCACAGATTCGAAATATTTTGAAAGATACACAGTTTGAAAACACTTTAACAGGTATTGAAAAAACTGCTTGGAATGATTTCGGTCTGGTGGTCACTAATTTCTTGGGAAATAGAAAAGCTGACAACTATAAAACCCTTGTCAAAAATATGCTGTCATCGTATCAAAAGATGGGCTGTAATATGTCTCTTACACTCACACCTGGACTTTTTTCCTGACAATTGCGGAGCCGTAAGTGACGAGCACGGCGAACGTTTTCATCAGGATATTTCAACAATGGAAAAAAGGTACCAGGGAAAGTGGAATCCTTCCATGCTTGCAGACTACTGTTGGACTCTTGGTAGAGATGCTCCAGAAACGATCCATAAAAGAACAGCAAAAAGACAGCGCATATAGTGATTCTTATAAGTATATGAATCTTTTTACTTTTTTTAATATATCCCTAAAAATAAAAAGTTTTTTTTCTAAACCGCAACTAATTTTTTTATTTCATTGTCATTTTTGGATTCCGCGCCCCAAAATTAACAAAGAAGTGCACTTTTCCCACAAGATACAATTAAAAAACTAAAATTTGTTGTCCAGTATAATTTTCTTAATCTGCATTGATGTTGCAGAGCCGTTTATCTCGATTCCATTAAGACATTGGTGTATATGGTACTAAGAAAAATTGCTTATGTTTTCAAGATCTACACGTCGTGTAAAGGAAAACCCCAACTTTGCGGATATTGAGAACAAGAGGGGCCCTAGGACTGAACCTTGTCGTACTCCAAAAGCGACAATAAAGGCGGTATAGGCGTATACGCTGAAAAATTTACGTAAAGCAATCAAGCAGACAAGAACCAATTTTTCCACTCGAGTAGTGTTGCGTAAGGCTGGCAAAATTAAACTAATTGTGCAGAAACGCAGCTTCGTTGAGATAGAAAGAAAAATGTTCGAGGACGTTTTGACTCAGATGATGGCCTAAAAACAGCCGTCGACGTCTTTTTTGATAGTCAAAAGGAAACATCTTTTTAAAAGGGTACAAGTTCATTGGAGGAGAAATGGCGCACGCGCATTGATGATGATATTGAAAAATAAAATCAACAAAAAAAATCGTATGTCTTTTGTATCATGGCTAGGTAGATTTCTTTTCTGCTACCCCTCGTAAAAGAACGATCTAAATCCAAAATTTACTGACCGAATTGTGTGGGAAACTTCTGCCTACATGACGCCATTTTTGTAATGTCTTTATACTTCAAGGTTAAACGTGGCAGTACGCAATTTTCTGCTTCGCACAAATCAAATAAACTTTGCCGACTTAGGACAACGTCGCAACGTCACTACGACATCGCGTTGCAAAAGTATTGATGTGCCAATAGCTACCTGTTATAGCGTATACGATTGTCGATTACGACCATTAGCGAGTGAAAATTGAAGACGTTTAACCGCGGTTCAAGGACAAGTTGAACGGCTGACATGAAATAAATAATCTTTTGAATATGTAATTGGTTTGGCGAGCACAAATAACAACCTTAGAGACATGGGACATCCAAGATGAACAACGAAAATTTTAACAAGCGACTATATTCCTTCGCTCAGAAACTTCGACTGCAAAACTTATTATGATATATGATAAATATGAAAACCACAGTATAAGTTTCCGTAGCTAGTTTATTAAAAATTGTTCCCAACTACTTAGGTCTTTTTTCAAAGTGAGCAGTTAACGCATTCAACAATGCCGTTTTGGATCTGGCAGCAAACGAGTGGAATAAGTGCTTCGAAAACTGGTTCGAACGCATGCAGATGTGTATTAATCTTCGTGGAGAATACTTCGAAAAACAATAAAGTCATTTAAAACTACCTACCATGTTGTTTTAATGTAAGATGACGCACCCGAGGCCAGGGACTCACGGTGCGCCCTGAATACGAATTATACCCTGATTAGACAAAATTTGATGCTCAAGTACAAAACATCCTTGTTTCTCTTCAATGATCACCAACAAGAAGCGCGTACGTGGTTCGCGCTACTGACTGATTCCACCGCTGTAACACCTCTTGGAAAAATAGATTCTAAAACCTAAACTATTTGACAAATAAAAGTACTTCGGTTCTGAAAGTTTAATCCTGACTGCTTATAGGTCCTGTACAAAATCTGCATGAAGCGCTAGTATCGCACTCCATTAACAAAAATTGTTTTAACGAAGGATCTAGACAATTTTAGACGATTTATTGATTTTATTTTCTGTATACTAGCCCGCTTAGAAAAGTCCTGCGAAATTTAATACATCTGAAGCTAATGGATACTCAACTGCTCACCGAAAAAAATGACTTTTGCTAAGTTCAATGGGGATGCAGGTGTTTCGGCGAAGCTACACATGGGTGCAAGAACTTCATTACAAAACATCGTTTTTACTATTTAAAGTCTAATTTATTACTCTAACATTAATTTATTACAAATTTATGCCCATGTCGACTGGTGTATAGTGATCCGCGCTGTTGGCTCATCGGTCGGTTCTGCCTGCCTCTGCCCTCTGTGCGTGTATTTATCTTTGAATCGACGAACCCAGAAGCGTTCTAGACACAACTCAAGTCGATGTTGCACAAAAAAGAAGTTCAACTTGCCAACACGAATAATATGTACCCAGAATTGAACGTTATTAAATTCGGTAAGTTGTTGAAATTAGAACAATGTAAATTGATTTTCAAAATTTCAAATAACCAACAAAAGTAAACTTCGTCCTTCAACAAAAGACGTTTATTATTATTAAATTCTGATGTATATGACTATGATTCGAGTTCACATAATAATTTGCACCGGATTCCCACAAGCACTAAGAATTAAACATCATGTCAATGAAGAGATAACAAAAATATAATAATATACAACATTGGGTAAAGAATGTACATTTATTTTGTCACAAAAATAAGTCGGTTGAATGGTTGATTTATTATTGTTATAAATTAATAATAATATTCGCACATTGTAACATTATGTTAGTTGTTCTCCATTCCACTGTTAGAGAACGTTGTTAACTACAAAATTTGTAGAAACTGATTGTCGAATGAACATTGTTTTCCAAGGAAAAGAATGTACATCTTCCATCAAAAGCTAATTACAGATTCTCGTTAGTCATCAGACTATACAAAATCTCCGTCACTTTGACCTGGTCCTCGTCTCTTTGACAGTTTTTTCCGAGGCAATTTACATCCTCTTAATACCAAGTGTCTCTCCTTTGTGTTCGTCCCGTGGTGCTTTGATCAATTTTCTGAGAGATGCAGAAAGGACACATACGAGATTTCGTAGATGGTAAATCTTTTTAAATTACTTTGATACCAAAATTGCTAGCGTAAATTCATGAGGATTCCCTGTTGCAAAATAACTCCTGAAAGCAAATATTTAGACTTGACTAGACCGGTATTTGTTGCATGCGATTTACAAATCAAAATTAGTAATTTCCTCGGTATAACCGTGCAGAATTGAACGAAAGTCTACACTTTAACTTATACTGTAGATGGATCGGAAAATTAAAAAAATTAGTGTGTCCGATTGGTTGAAAATGGAATTATACGTGATATTTCAGTGTGTCTTAAGGCTTTTTTGTCTTTTCGCGGAATTACAGTTCGTCGCGTTCGGTACATAAGATAAGCATTAACATAAGCAATAAGTCAATATTTTTAGTGAGAAGGATGAACCTGATGCTTTAATAATAAATTATCAACATTTGGCGTCAATTTTGTAAGGGTTAATCTTAAATCTCCTCGCCTAATGATGTCCAGTCTGTTTCTTTTTTTCGTTGGGAGATTGGTAACAGCGCTGCACCCCCTTTCCACTAGGTATGACGATGGAAAAGAAATTAAAAATCTCCTCGCTATATTCCATAATACGGGATAAGTAACGGGTATGTTGTTTTGCAGCCAGAATTGCTGATATCCATTTTTAAACTGAACCTTAAGTTCTTCGTTTGTACTTAGTTCAGTCAGTTCCTCTTGTATTATGACATTCGTTTCTTCTATGTCACCATATGGATTAATTATCCACGGTGGTATTACCATAGTCAAAATATCCTCAAACCTAGATTCAAAATCTGAATAGAGGGCATTTAAATGTTGAACGTAAGTTGAAACGTCGTCTTCCTGGCAGCTTGTCTGTGACAAATTGGGGAACTGAGAAAATTCGCCCCGTCCAATATTTTGCTTCATTAGTTTAACTCTGGCAAGAAACGCTGATAAGATGGACTTTTTTTAATCAAATTTAAACTGTCGCCTTGTAATTGCAAATTAACCATATTAAATTTTGTAAACAAATCTGTTAAATAGGCGATGTCTGTTTTCCTCTTCATTAAATTTTCTTTTAAAATTTTAGTTTTAGTATCCAGAAATTCTAAAATAGTCTCAAAAAGTGCAAAAAATCTTGTCAAACATAAGCCTTTCGACAGCCAACGTACTTCAGTGTGAAGGAGTAATTGATGAAAGTGTTCGTCATTTTCTTCACACAACTGCGCAAATAACCGCGTATTCAACGCTTTGCTTCGGATTGGGTTTACTGCATCAATGACTAAATGAAGTGATTCATGCAATCTAACACTCAAATTTTTAGCAACTAAATGTTGTCGATGAATGCCGCAATGTATTGCTAACACCCCTGACACATTTTGTTTTAAATAGCTTATAAATCCACGATAACGTCCAACCATGGCAGGTGCTCCATCTGTAGCTACTGATATTATATTTGATAAAGTAATTGCTTTTTCAATGAAGTAATCCTTCAAAACATGAAATATTGATTCACCTTTAGTGTCGGTTATCAAAGTTCTTGCGAAGAGCAGTTCTTCGTAGATTTCTGGCTTCATAATAAAACGAACATATGCCAATAATAATGCTGCATTATCAGGTAAAGTTGACTCGTCCAGTTGTATAGAGAAATGGGTCGTTTGCAAATAATTACGTAAGAAGCTTTCAATATCAGAACTCATTTCATCAATACGTCTTTCAACAGTATTGTAGCTTATGGGAATTCTTTTAATGATATCAGATGCAGGTTTGTGTAAAGCAGTTTTTAAAACCTCTTCAACGGCTGGCAAAATTAACTTCTCTCCGATAGTATGCGGTTTTTCGGATTTTGCTATAAGTAACGAGATATTGTAAGACGCCCGCAAACTATCATCATTTCTTTGTGACGTCGAAGCGAACATTCTGTCCAGTGTAGGTCTCTTCTGAAATTTATCTTGAAAGTATTCCTCTGTTTTATCAGGGTGGCATCTTCTCAGATGATCTTGCAGTTTAGATGGTTTCATAGCGTCATTGCCCAAAACTTTGTTGCATAAAAGGCACATAGGCGATTGTTTGTCCGGCAATGATGGAATGAAGCCAAATTTCAAATAATCAACACTGTACTGTCTACATTTCTTTTTAGATTCGGACATGGCATCAGTCATCTGTGGGCAAAATTAAATTATTTAAGTAAGACAGAAAATCCAGCAGCTGTATATTAAAAATATTTTTTGATTTTTCCGAAAACATTCCATAATTCGAACATCTTGCAACAATTAACTCGAATTACGGAGATTGCACTGTAATTATAATACCGATTGCTAAAACTTTCAAAAAGAAACTATTGAGTACTCGTGTAATTTTGCATGATTGAATATTTAACTACTAATAACTAAAGTCATGATTAGCGTAATTTATCTATCTTTGCTAACTACGAGTACAAAACTAAAATTTAATAGAAAATAATGTACTTACTTTTCTCCAGCACTCTCAAACAAAGTAACACTGACTCACTATAATTTGTGTGATATACTATCTGTTTATATTTTTTAAAATATTTTCTTAGCACTTTCCTTTTCAACATTCAGGAAACGAATAAACGTATTTGTCCCACATTCGTATTTATAGAGTGACGAATTGAACAAGTCAGTGCAAGGTAGCGAAGCTCTGAGACTGCGACTCTCAGGTTTTTACAAGTTCAAAATGTATTGCGACCACAAAGCGAATACCAACATCCTACAACTTACACAATTTTATAAACATATATAATAAATTTTGTACTTCATAGGTACTTTTATAAATAATGTATATGTTTTGATATTATAAGATAGTATGATGTAAGTAAATAGGTACTATCAGTGTATGTGTTGTTGAGATCCACTATCGTGGACCCCCATATTCATTTCATGGACCCCCAAATTTTTTTTCGCTGACGTAGACCACTTGCAGGTTGTCATAGACCCCTAGGGGTCGATATAGACCACTTTGGGAATCAATGGTTTAGGCCCAACCTACCCTCGTTTCCTTTTTACCCCCCTGTTACCTCAGCAGATGGTGCTCGTGATTGTAGGAGCCGATTTTCTCAAAATCAGTCCGGATGGACTATTGTCGTTATTCCCCGGTACCCTTCAAATGTAGTGTGAATATTCGGCAGACAAGTTCCATAGATAAGAACATCACTTGGAAATGGCATTACAGTTATAAGATCACATATTTCTCCAACATTTCTCTATTTCCACTGTGCTGAATGCAATTGCTTCGTTTGATCGACAATTCCGGACAATTCCTTATCGCTTTCGTCCTTTTCTGTTTTATATCGTGTCGAACACGCGCTCGCGTGATATAAAAGAGTTGTCTGGCATCGCGACTCCCTTTGAAACCGTTCCAGAGCGTCGCTCGCTAGCGAATGTACGGGAGAGTTGGTGCTGATCGGGAAACAATCACTGCCGATATCGGCGAGAGTCGTCTAGATTTCTTCCAGGCGGAAATCTGAGCAAACGGCTAGTTGAAAAATGCTGCGAGAAGGCTTCGAAGCTAATTCGGTCTTTGTGAATAGTTTTAGTTTCCGGGAAAGTTGTACAGTTAGCACGGACCGGAACAGGTCAGGACGAAAACAACACTGGACAACAAATTTTAGTTTTTTAATTGTATCTTGTGGGACAAGTGCACTTCTTTGTTAATTTTGGGGCGCTGAATCCAAAAATGACAATGAAATAAAAAAATTAGTTGCGGTTTAGAAAAAAAACTTTTTATTTTTAAGGATATATTAAAAAAAGTAACAAGATTCATATACTTATAAGAATCACCGCTGTCTTTTTGCTGTTCTTTTATAGATCGTTTCTGGAGCATCTCTACCAAGAGTCCAACAGTAGTCTGCAAGCATGGAAGGATTCCACTTTCCCTGGTACCTTTTTTCCATTGTTGAAATATCCTGATGGAAACGTTCGCCGTGCTCATCACTTACGGCTCCGCAATTGTCAGGAACAAAGTCCTGGTGTGAGTGTAGGAAATGTATCTTAAGAGACATATTACAGACCATCTTTTGATACGATGACAGCATATTTTTGACAAGGATTTTATAGTTGTCAGCTTTTCTATTTCCCAAGAAATTAGTGACCACCAGACGGAAATCATTCCAAGCAGTTTTTTCAATACCTGTTAAAGTGTTTTCAAACTGTGTATCTTTCAAAATATTTCGAATCTGTGGCCCAACAAAAATACCTTCTTTAACCTTTGCCTCACTTAGTCTTGGAAATTTCTGACGCAGGTATTGAAAAGCTGACCCATCTCTATCTAATGCCTTGACAAAGTATTTCATTAGGCCCAACTCGATATGCAGTGGTGGTAATAACATTTTTTTCGAATCTACTAATGGCATATGCTGTACATTTTTTTGACCTGGCTCTAGGAATTGACCAACAGGCCAGTTTTGTCTGGTGTAATGAAGTGCCTTTGCCCGACTGTCCCATTCACACAAAAAACCGCAAAACTTTGTGTAGCCTAGCTGCAGCCCAAGTAAAAGTGCAACAACTTTCAAATCGCCACAAATATGCCATTGGTGCTCATCGTATTTTATGCATGTCAATAGGTACTTCATATTGTCATACGATTCTTTCATGTGAACTGCATACCCTACAGGAAGAGATGGTAAAATATTTCCAATATGCAATAACACTGCCTTTAAACTCAATGTTGAACTGTCTATAAACAATCTCCATTCTTCTGGGTTATAGTTTATATTTAAAGCCGCCAGTAAGCCGTTAATGTTACTGCAGAAAACCAAGTTATTCTCCATATTGAAAAATGGTTCTAAGTCTTTGTGGCGTTTACGAAAAACACATACCGAAACATCGTCTTCTAAAAAGTTCCACTGCTGCAGTCTTGATCCAAGTAACGCTGCCTTACATTTTGGAAGTTCTAAATCTCTTACAAGATCATTTAATTCTGACTGTGTTATTTTGTGCCGTTGGTGGCATGACGTGCTCGGTATAAAATCAGGATCTCTTGACGTTGATGGCATATCTTCTTCCTGACGAATCACTCGATCGCCATGATCTGATTCGTTTTCTGATTCGCAAGTGTAGGATTCTGGGGGTTTTGGAATAGGATTTTCGTCACTGTGAGGCACAGGTCTCATCGCAGATGGTATGTTTGGGTTGTTAATAACAGATTTTTTTTCTTGGACTTATTTAGGATATTTTTTGGCTGTTGATCAGTGTAATCTTAGGCGGCGATCTTCACGGTCTATTGTTCTACGGCGGCGTCCAGTGCCCCTTGCTCTTTGCGTACGGCCTTCTCGAAGCCATGCCTGACAACACCTAACCACACTGTCTACACTTCTTTGCACTCTAACTGTAATTGCCCGAAAAGAAAGTCCAGCTTCCCGAAGTCCCACTATACGGCCCCTATCAAACTCACTAAGTTGACGAAATCGTACAGGTCTCCGTACTCTAGGCATCATAACCGATCGTAAAGGATGTCAAGAACCAAAATCCGCCAACGTTGATTCTTTACTGCGGCTGAAATATTCATTTTTAGAGCGTTAGTGAATTAAAAAAAAGCAGTATTAAAAACCGGAATGTCCAACTGATAAGGCTGAAAAATTTTTCACTTGTTATTTACAGTAAGATGAATACATTCACCAACTTTTATTAAAATAAAACGATTTAAACTGGGTGTTCGGATTTATATGTCACTTAGTATACATGTATAGGTTTTTTTACGAAATGAAATTGATGCGCTTTAGCGTAAACGAAATTCAATGACAATATGATTATTTCTAAGGCGTTACCTCAGATTGTCATCCGTAAACGACATTTCAAAGCCGCACGGTCCACCGGAATTTTAAAACGACCCGACAGCCCGAATATGGGCCATCCGGATGCTAATTCCGCCGCAACATTTCCCTATATTCCATTCTCTGTTCGCTCAACTCCTCCAATAGACGAGTACTCAAGTCGGGTCGGCAAGTTTAATTGAGACCGCTAGTTTATTTTTCGCCGTCGCTAATTAGAAAATGGAATTATAAATCCCGAGAACGACGGGGCTCGACTCCCGCGCGGTGCAGCCCCGAAAGTTGAGTAATCGAATGTTAGGCCGTCGTTACATTAGATGCTTCAGTCCTCGCACTGCCAACTCAGTCGAACTGCAAAGGGGGATCCTGCCCTGAGCAGGGATCTGATATCGTTTCAGCCGCAAGTTTAATGTGGGCGGAGTGGGACTCCGGTAGCTGGAAGATCTTCGGAGTGAGAGACACACACGGACGGCTCGGTCACTGAAGAGCACTCTGAAGGCGGAGACTTTGGGCCTAGAACTATTTTTATTATCTACAACATTGCGGATTTAGAAAAGGCTATAATATTGCAGCTGCGTTACTAGATATTACTGACAACGTTATTACAGCCTCGGATCAGCAGATAATAATAATAAGAATGATAATGTCTTTATTGATAGATCCACACTCCAGTAACTCATTAACATACACTTAAAGAAGCTAACGATCATATCAACTAAGAAAGTA